GCCCCTTGCACCCTTCCTTTCCCCATTTCCCTTCTGCGGGCTCGTTGTGAATTCGCTGCTCTCCAGGAAAATCATCAGCTACACATGTACATTAGGACGTGTGACGCTAAACATTATCAGTGATTAGTGTAGAAGGTGTTTTTAAGTCAAAAACGAACCAAAAAATAGAGCTTTTGTCCAGCTAGATATACCACCAGTCGTGCAGAGAAATCAAATTTCAAAGATACAGTGTTTCAACAAGCTTACCCTACCTCTAACCCCACCCGGAGCCGAAACGGGGAGTATGATCGCACTCAGGTACACGCGTATTTAATACCAGGCAACCAGAACTTTCAAACGAAAAAACAAAACAAAACAAATTAAAAACGTATAACGACAACTGATTGTTTGTAAATGATCGGAATGGACAGGAGACTGCCCGCCCTGGAAGACTCAGTGTGGAATGAGTTTCTCTTACTGTAAGCACATTTGCATGATATGCTTGATTTTGTAGCCTGTCAGTGAAAATAAAAGAAAAGTACTGTATGAAGAAGATAATATCCTGCCTTTCAATTTTATTATGACGGGTATATATATTTTCGCAGCGAACCAGTTCCGTATTCTCCAATAAGATTGCGTGAATAGCGTCATACCTGTTGGTATCAATTCATGTGTAAACAACTGAAAACGGATTTGGATCTATGATCCTCTCTTCCAATGCAATTGCCGTTTCTAAGTTAATGGACTATTCTATCCACCCTGGTTACTTTTCTGAACTAAATTAATCTTTTCCCTTTGCTGAGTTTCCAGGATAACAATGCGTTCACATCAACCGATTAACAAGGGTGTTGTAAACAAGATAGGACTGGGCCGAGATAGCTCGAGAACACGTGACAAATAGGCGTTAGAGAATGTGTAATCGGATCATTCAATCATTCAGTGTTTTCCTTTATCTAGTTCGGAAAGGTTTTCAGTATCTCGGAATGGATCTCAAGTTTTAGGCGGAATCAATCTTGTACGGAAAATTATCTGCTATCAGAATAAAGAGTATGGTCACTTCATCATTTTTGGTGCCGAAGACCTGGGATGAATGAACTCAGCGGAAAGAACTGACGCTGATCGGAAACGAACAGAAGACATGAAGTTACTAGTATAACGCATGTTACACGGATCATTTCACGGTGAAAAAGTTTGAAACAATGTCAGACCTCAAGAAAAGATTTTGGAACGGTCGGGCTTTAGAGTCTACGTGAGAAAGGTTGTAAGTACGGTCAGAGAATTGCTCCAAGAAGAGGACATGGAAAATATTCGCCCAACGCTAGAGTCTCACAAGATCAACCTCGAGAAACAGCAGAAACAGATCGAAACTTAATCAAGAAATCGCGGAATTAGTGGGAGCGGATGCAATTAAAAAAGAAATATTAGACCGCTGTGAATTCGAAGCTTCCCTTCAAGAAACAATTTCGCTTATTTCTTCACGGTTATCGTTTGTCAAGGAATCCAAAAACTCAGCCGAGACAACGCCGTCGATAAATCAACAAGAAGCTCCGATTGGCGCCAAAACGAGTAGCTAGGCTAAACTTCCAAAACTCACTTTGCCAAAGTTCACTGGCGATCCCACAGAATGGACAACATTTTGGGACAGTTTCTCATCTGCTATCCATTTAAGCGAGGAACTCGGCGAAATCCACAAATTTCAGTATTTGAAATCCTTGTTAGTGGGAACTGCAGCCGAAACTATTTCGGGTTTGCCTTTGAGCGGGTCGAATTACAACCATGCGGTCGATCTTCTCATGAAGCGGTTTGGAAGTAAACAAGTAATTATTTCAAAACACATTGAAATGTTGATGCAGCTGCCAAAACTGAATAATTCCAGTGATTTGGAACAACTACGGCAACTTTTGGACACAACTGAAGGGGCCATCCGAAGTTTACAAGGAATCGGTGTATCATCTGAGACATACGGAACATTTCTCACGCCTGTCTTAATGGCCAAAATGCCGCAAGAGTTACGTCTTATTTTAAGTCGTGGTATGTCCGACGAATGGGACTTGGACACTGTGATGAAATCCTTTGCGGAAGAATTACAAATACGGGAAAGGTGTGCGCTGGGACCGGTTTCAGAGCAAACGCCAAAGTTGGGAGTGAAGGATCCTTAAAACGAGACTTCGGATCTGGATTTCGTCACGGTCAAATCAGGGGACCTCCCACTTCATCAACGTTGTTTTCAGAAGGACCACTGCCGAACAAAGAAATGTGGTGTGCCTTTTGCAACGGCCCTCATCCATCAAACAGGTGTGCTGTTGTCACTGATCCTGAGAAAAAGAAGAACATTCTCCGACAGAAAGGAAGATGTTTTGGTTGTTCAAGGAGTGGTCACATCAGTAAAAATTGTTCAGCTAAATGTTACCGTTGTGGCGGGAAACATCATTTATCTTTGTGCAGCACGCAGGAACAACCAATGCAATTTAGACAAACCCGCGGCGCCCCACAGGAAAAAACTGTGAGTACAAATTTGTATTTTACTCAGGATGTTAAGAACAATTGTGTTTTGTTACAAACGGCTAGAGCAAAGGTCGGAAATCCCAGTGGCGATGTTTATTGTAATGTGAGAATTCTGCTTGATTCTTGTGCTCAGAAGTCCTACATAAGCACGAGGTTGAGAAACGAATTATGTCTGCCTTCAATTGGAATGGAAACAGTTTTAATTAAAACATTTGGAAACAATGAACCCTCGCTAAAGAAATGTAACATTGTTCAGTTTGCGTTGGAATGCCAGGACAATTTGAGAGTGTTCATCAATGCCTACGAAGTTGAATTAATCTGTGGTCCTATTGCAAATCAAACCATTGAAATAGCAGAGCGGTGTTATCTGCATTTACAAGGTTTGCCTCTTGCTGATTATTTACGAGGTGATGAAGGTCTAGAAATTGATGTCATGCTTGGAGCTGATTACTATTGGACTGTTGTTCAAAATCATGTGGTAAGGGGGGAGTTGCATGGCCCAGTAGCAATCCGTACAAGATTGGGTTATGTGCTGAGTGGACCTGTCAATGTTGCATGTTCCGATCACTGTCCCTCAAGTGTTAATATGTCCCATGTAATGAAAACTGAGTGTCAAGGGGTTACGGAAGACTTTAATGCGAATGATGCCTCACTCAAAGAACAACTAGCCAAGTTTTGGGACTATGACAATCTTGGAGTTAAAGGAAAGGAAGAAGATTTCTGTGAAGAGTATCGAACTAAAGTAAGATACAATGGTGATCGCTATGAAGTTTCTCTCCCATTCAAGAAAGAACACCCCATCATTCCAGACAACCACTCCTTGGCACGAAACCGTCTGGTCTCCTTGTTGAAAAGATTGAAGTCATCGGAATCAAAGTTACTTAACCAGTATGATAATGTAATCAAAGAACAGTTGGACTCTGGTGTTGTTGAAGTGATTGACAAGCATGAAGAGGAAGTTGTCCTAGGAACTGTTCATTACATTCCTCACAAGGATGTACTGAAGGAAGATCGAGCTACCACTAAACTGCGAGTTGTTTATGATGCTAGTACAAAGTCTTACAGTGAACCAAGTTTGAATGACTGTCTTTTATCTGGACCTACATTAACTCCATTGCTTTTTGATATCCTGTTGAGATTTCGTCTCCCAAAGATTGCTTTGATCGGAGATTTAGAGAAGGCATTTCTTAATGTCGAAGTCAAGCTGGAGGATAGGAATCTGCTGAAGTTCTTATGGATTGATGATGTCGACTCCTTGAATCCAGAAATAATCAAGTTAAGATTTACGCGTTTAGTGTTTGGCCTTGCCTGTTCTCCATTCATTCTGAATGTGACATAGAGGAACCACTTATCAAAGTATGAGAACATTGACGCAGAGTTTGTGAGCACTGTAATCCAAGCC